ATGACTGCTCATAAGTACAATCATTTGCGCTTGCATGGCGGCCATGAATGTCTGCATTTGGTTTTGCATGGCCTCAATGGTTTGGGCCAGCTGTTCATGGCCGTTTTTGCCTCCTTGTTGACGTTGGGGGGCTTGCTGGGGCGGCAGGTTACTTTGTACTGCTCTACTGTAGCTCCTGCTGTTTTGGCCGACTGATGGCTGTGATGCGGCTACAGTTGGGACTGCCCTGCGTGTTTCTTTTCTTAGCTGCTGCTTTTGTATTGGTTTCGCAGGGCATCCGGAGAAGGAGACTGAATGTGCGCCTCCGCAGTCTGCGCACCTCGCAGCCCTTTCCCGGCGAAGTGGACATTCCCGGGATTCATGTGCGGCCGCACACTTGACGCATTTTGCGGCGGCTGTACATTTCGATTGGCCATGTCCATAAAGCTGACACCGGAAGCACTGTGTCAGCTGACTCTTGGCATGCTGGGATTCCACTTGGACTCTTAGGTTTCCCAGCGATCTGACGTCAAATATGGCTTTTTCGGATTTGGGCAGTAGCACCAGGACTAGTGCTATCGGCTGGCCATTTTTCTTCCACCTCACAATGGTTCTTGGGTGGAATCCTAGGGCAATTAGCTCGTCCCTGATTTTGGCGTCGCTCCATGACTGAATTAAAGCCTCTRACCACCACTCTAAGCTGTTTCTYCTTCTCCAGCTGGTAGGTGTGGTACTGGTATTTATAGGTATCCAGTATCCTAATCATTTGCCTGTAATCTTTGGCAGTTGGAGGGTGAGTTCTGACTCCCTCCTTCATGGTCACTCCACATCCATAATTGATTTTCTTTGCCATCAGTGGTCGCGTAATTTCGTCATATTTGCCCTTCTAGCGAAGGACAATTGGAGGCACCTTTGACCTCCTTTCACTTTGCTGCTGGGCGGCAGGGGTGGCCTGCTTTTTCGTTTCGCTGGTTTTATTCTCTGGCTGGCTGGTCTTTGGCTGGGCTCCTCTGCGAGGGTCCCTCCTTTGTCCCGGATCTGTCGACAAATTCTGTGCCTTAGAATTGTCCACGCTGGACACAGGGCTGGCTCGCTTCCCCCTTTGACGGCGATTTGAGCTTTGATAGCCCTCGCCGTCTGAGGAGTCCGTCACCGGGCCCCTGCCCAGTCGTCCGCCGAAAAGGCAATGAAATAAAACGCAACAAAGTGGTAGCTAATGTAAAGATAATTGAACGCCCTTTAAAACGATGTGCCAGTTGACTCCCCTTCCCATTCTAATCTAATAAGATCTAATCTAATCCCATAAGATTCTAAAGGTGACGTCTACCCGTCCTAGGGGGTTGAAACAAGGAGGCTAAAAATATTCATTTAAAGTGTCCCCCTTACAAATAAAATTTACGG